CTCACTCTGCTAAGCCTTTTCTTCCCTAAGTTAAAAGTAAGTCATTCCACGATATTCAAATCTTATTGCCCAAGTTTCTAAAAATTTACCCTTAGGATAAAATTTCCAACCAAGAAGTTCAGTACGTGCAAACAATCAAGTACTTATTTGGTGACATCTATGATATTAATGCTGTTTAATAGCTGTCAACTGCTTCCCCAAGCCGGGCGGCTGAAAATGTTATACAAGACATCATGTGGATGCCTAGTGCAGATTCGTGGGCAAGAAGAACCCAGAAAAGGAACTGCAGCATTGAGAGGACAGTTAGGAGGCTTCAGCAGGGTCCTGGGTAAGAAGGACATCTTTGAAGAGTAGGATCTGAACACGGGTGTACACAGAGAGGGGCTTAGCATGAAGAGAAGCAGCCCAGCCAAAGAACACAGTAGGGGCCGCAGGCAGTTTAGAAAGCCAGAGAAGCCAAAAATGAGTGATTCTGAATTCTACACAAAGCCCTTGGCATTTATAAGTGAAACAAAGCACTTTTAATATGAGAGCAAAAGAACAGAGTACATCCTTTATTCAGACTTTTACAAGAGTGCTTCCCGTCTCCGGCCCACAGCATGCCGTTGCCTCCATGATTATATGTCTGTGAGGCTGGGCATCTGGTCAGACAGCTGGGTCACCTAGGCCAGAAGAAAGGCAATAACAAGATTTGCGCTCTCTTATTGCCACTCACCCTGGCCTCTGCAGCCCAGGAGGCCTGAGAGCATGTGCTTATGAGTCAGCAGCAAGCATAACGTGAGCCAAAAACAAGTAGAAATTGTAAGACAATAGCAAGAGTTCAGGAGTTAAATTGTGAAACAAAACTCCATGATGACCTTCTATCCTCTGTCAGTCTTCCATGGCCAACTTCTAAAAATCCACCTCGTTATTTCTGCTCAGTCTGTTCGGGGTGCTACGTATTTTTTTGACAGTAATAAAACATGTGGGCTCAGAGACACAGGCAAATGTAGGCTCTCTAAGTCTTTGTGGGCGTGGGTGCCCAGAGGCAGACAGTGGATAGTGCTTCAGTCTCCTGGCTTCCCCAGGCAGGCACACAGGCTCTCACCAAGAGCCTGGCCTGCGTGTTTATTTCTACTGACTCAGACCTCCCTGTTGTCTTTCTGTTACTACTTTAAGATCAAGACTTATTTTGTACTTTACTTGGAAAAGTTCAAAGTAAGCACATAGGTTTTGATTTTTGATTTGGGGGGCTTTCCCACCAATCATAACAAAATCTCTTCAAAGTGTTTAAGATTGAAAGGAATTGGTGTAGTGAAGGTGAAATTTTATTGGGACTCTAGAAAACTCTTTGTTTATATGATTATTGTATTGTAGATTAGGATGTATTCACTTAAGTACTGGGTAAAGTGTCAGGTTTATTTTGTCCTGAAACTGATTATATGCTTATTTTTTCTAGCATATTGTCCATTAGATGTTACATAAGCTCACAGCATCCTGAATTTTGGTTTGTCCTGAGAGACTGTGTTTGTTTTTCCTTAAAGATCTGTTTCCTATATAATCTGTTTCCTTTAGACTCTGACAGGAATGGTTTAAATCCCTAACACATAAATGTCATGTGGTAAAAATAGATACTATTCACACAGAATTATTGAAGCATTGTGACCAATTTAGCTTAAAAATGCTTTTGGGGAGGATAGAGGATTTTCTTAGTCCTTTTAGTTGCTAGTATTATGACTTTTAGAACTTAGCTGTAAACATTTCTCCAGTTATTCAACATGGAAAAATTATGAAAGGATGATTGGTCAAGGTAGATGCCACATACCTTCTGAAAAAGTGCCTGAAAGTGGCTACCTCCAATGCTGACATGCAAATTTGGACCAACATATACTTCCCTAGAAAAAAGGGTCAGTTCTTTTAAATATAATGCCTTCAAAATGGATAGTATGTGCACAATAGTTTCTTCCTACTCTAGAATGGGGCCTATGTATTTTTCTTTCCTGTAAGTGAACCAGATACGGTTTGCGGATACAGCTAATCTTCCAGGTCTTCCAGAATTCACTTATTACTTTTGTATTACCACAAACCCCAAGGTTTACTGTAGGCCTGCAATTCTCTAGGAACTTCTAGGAAAGAATGCTTTTGAATTATTTTCTGGGACAAGAGATGGTCAAGTGAAACTTATAGCACACCCCATTTTTAATGAAGTGCATTTCCAGGCCAAGTACTAGTACTTTGCATGACATATTTGAAAAAAAAAATGTAGAATGAGAGTTGAGAGCTCTGATTCTTTTTATCAAATTCATAAAGATGGCATGAGTTTCCATAACTCAAATAAAATATTACTTACTTTCAAGTGACTTTCTATGTCATTGCAATCATTTTTCCCAAAATTCTGAAACAAGCCATGATAATTTGCACTTTTAAATGAAATACTCTTATATTAGTATCTTTGTTCTAATGTCTGCTACGTAAGAATTCACTCTTTTGCCTCAACCAATAAGTACTTTCCTTTATCCCACAAATAGCAGTAGCATAAACCCTTTCAAAATATAAATTACTGCATCTCAGAATAAACATATGCACACATGTATGCAGTTATATTAGTAGCACAGAAACTGAGCTAGTAAGTGTAAGAAACAACATAATCTTTAAGTATGGAGAAGTGCTTTATAATCCCAACATTATTTGATCAATATATTGCCCAGTTTAGGGGTGAAAAAGCAGTATAATTTTAGCTTTCAATTCATTAGCAGTTTTCTCCCTTTCTCAGTAAGATCAGTGAGCTTGATTCTTGGTGTCCTAAGAGATCATATAGGTAACAATATTAGTAGTAATAACAATAATAAAGTAATAGCTAACATAAATTGAGTACCTAGGGTGCTCTAAAAGTAAGTTGTAAGTGGTTTATGAGTTCTCAGATCAAGTTTTTGAAATTCATATTATCCTCATTTTATGGAAGAAGAAACAGGCACATAAGTGGAAACTGTGCCTTAGTGTAGTGATGGTGTAACACAAACACCGTAGACTGAGTGGCTTATACACAATAGAAATTTAGTTTTCACAGTTCTGGGACCTGCAAATTCAAGATCATGGTGCCACCCGATTTGGCATCTGTTGAGGACCTGCTTCCTGGTCCACAGGCAGCAAGTTCACATTGTGTCCTCACATGGTGAAAGGGTTAAACAGACCCCCTTGGGCCTCTTTTATAAGATAATGGAGGCAAGGAAAGCATATGTTGTTTATAAGTGGAGTCTTTCATTAGCACACTGCTTGGTTTTTGTTCTTCCCCCTGTGATAAATGACGAAAGCATAGGCTAGCAGAAAATACATTCATTAAACTTCAGCATCTTTACTGCCCATTGCTGAAAGCTACTGTGACCCCTTTGTGCCAGCTAGGAGGAAATGGCCCATGGTTATTATTGCTGTTCTCACGTCCACAGCAAAAATGCTATATCAGTAACTGTGGCATTTAAAAAAACCTATTGATTGTAAATTAATGGATATTAATCATTTCTTAAGCATATTGTTCTTTGCCCAAAATGTTGCTACCATGGGCAACGTGTTTGTTCTCCCCAGAACTTATATGTTGAATTCCTTTCCCAGGGTGATGGTTGTAGAGAGGGGTCTTGGGAGGTGATTGGGTCCTGAGGGCTGAAGTCTCAGAATGGGGTTAGTGTCCTTGCATGAGAGGCCCCAAGAAGCTTCACTGCCTCTTGCACCATGTGAGGGCATGATGAAAATGTACCACACGGGCACCGGAAGAGCATGCTTACTGACCCCCATGCACAAGGGTCTTGATCGTGGAGTCCCAGCCTCTAAACCTGTGAGAAAGAAGGTTTGATTCTTTATAATTCAATCTATGGTTTTTGTTGCATCAACTACAATAGACCAGGGCAATGGACAGGGCTCATGATTTTTCTCCCAATATCGTCAATCCCTTTATCATACTCTGAGCCACATTAAGTAGGAAAAATCAAGACTATTGCCATGATATGTTTTATTTCCAAAATACTGTATTTCTCAAAAATTATTGATTTTCCCTTATGATTTTAGCATCCAAAAAGACAAAAAGTTTAATTCTATACTACATTAGAACATATAAAATGAAAGGTGCAACAGAAAGCACTAGTCAACAGCCTGTATTTGGATTTTAAAACTGTCAAACTTCTTAATTCCTTAGGGTACTTGTAATGAAGAAGAACTTGGTTTTCAAGAGCTAAAAAAATATGTACTCTGTATTAGCATAATATGTGCAATCATATCAGATTTTTCTGCAGTTGAGCTTGAAGTGAGGATAGGAAAGAAAAGAAAGATATTGATAATTTGAAGTAGGGAGTACGCAGACTTTTATCTCTAAATGTATAATTGGCATTCTTTCCTCCACTGACGACACAGCATGAGGGATAGAATCACGTTGCCACCAATTACATCCTCAAAAATGCATATTTAATTAAATCATACCCTCAACATTTTTCAATATTTTTCAGTGAAACACTTTTTTCACAGAATGCATTCACATTGTTATCTTTCAGAGTACCTTATTAAGATTACTGTGATGTGTTTCTAACTAATTGGGAACCTAGGTGTTACCTCATTGCTAAGCCTGGATGGAACGTTTATGGACATGTGTTATGATTTGCTGATCTGTGCTGTGAAACCATCAGTCTGTTTGCAGTGGGGAGGCTATGACTGGGGGAGGCTGGGTAGAGGGAAGGAGGGTCATTCTGTTTGGTGTGTCAGGGGAAGGAGGGGGGAGGAAGATTTGTCACAAGCTTTGTAATTAAGATGTTCTTAGAGGGTTCAATTTTGGGGGCTGGGGGTGTAGCACCATGATAGAGTTTGTGCTTAGCATGTGTGACCCCCCTGGGTTCAATCCCCAAAGCTACCCAAAAGAGGGAGGGGTGATTCAGTTTTGATCTTTGCACAAAAAATCATGTGCAATAAATGCATGCTGCTAGAAAGCAAGTTAGCAGTGATCATATTCTCTTTTTGTTTGTTTGTTCTATATTTTTTCTCAGGGGAAAACTGTCACATCTAAGAGGTTAACAAGCCTTGTTCAGTCTTACTAAAAGGATCACCTTGTAGCATGGAAGCAGACTGGCATCGTGGCATATACTCTGTAGCTCTTTGATGTAACCTGGAGCAGAGGACATTAGACCAAGATGTTGCATGAACGGAGGACCTGACTTGTTCTTTTTGTGTGTACATTTAGCATCGCCATCTCCAAGGGACTCTTTGCCATCTCAATGCCTCCATTTCAAACTGTTGTCTGCTCGCTTCCTCTTCCTTTCTCCTCCTAATCTGGATCTGTTGTCTTTTCCTTTTTAACAAGTTCAAGTGAAGTAAAACCTTTTTTTCCCCCTCTCTCTTAAAGCTTCTGCTAGACACACTGTTTACTGATAATTCAATCAATCACAAACTGGAAGAACTGTAAAAGAAAAAACAGCATATATCAATATATATACATATGGCTTCACGTGTATTAAACAATAAATTAGCACAGAAAGTTCCACTTCGCTGGTATTTTCACAGTCCGAAACAAGCTCACGTCTTTGTCTCTTGTCTGTATATTCTCGGTTAATGTTTCTTGCATTTATTTTTATACCATATTTAAATAAGAAACACCTTTTACTCCAAATGTATTAAACTTGATCCCTTCTCTGTAAATTTGTGTATGTTTATATTGTTGTTTTATCTTTCATTAAAAGATGCAGAATCTCCTTGCTTTTGTAGCTTTTGTCATCCACAGTAAATGTAAAAGAAAATGATGAGAAAAACAGTCATAGTCATAGAGTTCCAAATTGGACTGTCACCCTGAAATTTGTGTCAGTGTTTCAAGTTGGGTGTGGATGGTTCCTCAGCCGGGACGAGCACATTGAAAGTATTTCTCTTGGGAGCCAAGCTGGGGCCGGGTGGACCTTTTACCTCCTATTCGTGGACAACAAAAATGTGACCATCTACATTTTTGGCTATACAGGGAGGCCTTTCTGCCTTGTATTGAATATGTATATCTATATTTTGCTAATGAATATTTTGTTAGAATTAGGCCTGGGTATGACTTCACAGCTCCGCACCTGATTCTTTTTCTTTAAAGTACAATTCTAAAAATACCTAAGGTCAGTGTTGCTTAACTTTCTGGTATTTATAATTTCCTTCAGGAATAGGATGTTGCTGACATTTAGTGAATACTGACTAAACACCTGTCACTGCATGATGGACTTCACATGCCCATAAAATCCTCACACTTTTATCCTCATTGCACTCTGCTAAGTTCATTTCTGTGATTTTGAGAAAAAAGAAGAGAAGGGTTAATTAACTTATTTGAAACCACACAGCCAAGTAGTAAGTTAAGATCATAGAAGAAAAAAAAATATTTTCCTCTACCCTTCTAGTTTCACAACTAGAACTCCGTTATAAAAGACAGATTCATAGGTCCTGGCGTGTGGCTAAGTAGCGGAGTGCTTGCACTGCATGTGTGGGGGCCTGAGTTTGATCCCCAGCATGACATAAAAACAAACAGCAACAAAAGATTTGCAAAAAGAGAAGCATAGTAATTTACTTGACAGAAGTTTTCTTTGGTGGGAGACTTCATAACCAAAGGGAGATCTAAACAAAATGATTAAACCTGAATGTTTTATCCCAGATTCAACAGAGAGAAATGTGAGCTCAGGGTGGGAAACTGAGGGAAATATGTTATAGACAGATTGTCCATACTCCTCTCACTATCCCTCTATGTTCAGATATAAGGATGCTCCTTTTCTGCAGGTCCAGGGAGGGCACCTCTCATAGGAGGGTCTTAGGACCTGCTTCTAGAGAAAGTCAGAATCTTTCTTACCTGCCATTTCTCAAATTCCTTCAGCTTAAAATGTTTGACCTTCCAGGATGCCATATTTTGGAGTAGCATGTTTTAAATCCAGGCAATCTGACAACAGGACACAGTACACTCAACCTACCCAGTAACTTTTGGTAAAAAGTTACATGAAAATCCACATATGCCCTCACATAGGAAATGTTTGTTCTGAGTGTGAGGACATTCACAGACTAAACTAGAGCTACTCCACAGATCCTAGGTAAGAAACTTGACTTAAAAGCACTGGGTCAGTCACACAGAGGGTTACCTAGCCAGGGCACAGGCCTGACCTCCTCACTTATGTTTATACCTAGATATTGAAGAAATTGGGTATTAAAAAATACAATCAAGATATTAATGCTTTTTAATTAGTATAGGTAAATTTACACTCTGAAAAATTTTACCAACAGCAGTGAGCAGTCAGCAGTGAAGTCTAGTAGCTAGTTTTAATAAAACACACAAAATGCAAGAGTCTTTATTGGAGAATTTTATATACAGGCTATAATCTAAATACTGTAAACAGTTGAAGAAAGGTTTAACTATATCCTTATGGCTTTTTAAAAAAATACTTAAATGCTAATTAAGTTAATATACTTCACAACAGGCTGGCACAACCAACACTGAAGCTACATTAAGGTCTACTTAATAAACACATTATTTGAAGGAAAATAATAGACCTATTAAAAAATATGGTGTTTAAGCAATGAGCCTTGCACAGAGATGGCTGGCTGTCTTTCTCGAGTTGTCACTCCTTAGCCATGCATCCTAATTTGCCATCCCAAATAATGGATTCATGCAGAAACAAAGGGCAAAAGAATGGCTAAAGGCAGCAGAAAAGGAAACCCTCCGCTAAGTGTCTCCGCGTCAGGAAGTCCTACCTAAAGAGTTTACTCAAGCTTCTGGTTTCAAGAACACAAAAGCTTTACATGCCCTAATGATGCCATTTAAAATGATTTAGACAAAAGTCAGATACAAAAATGTGGCATTTCAGGAGAAGCACCAAGAAAAGGTTCAGATTTCTTGCTCATAACTCCAGTAAGCTCTTGTCAACAGTTTCGCACCCACCCTGGTACTGTTTGATCTGTAAGTCACAGAATAAAATTTCCATTGAATAAAACAGTTTTTAAGAAATATTTCCCTACCTAAAGACCATCTTAAATGCTATTCTCCAGTAACTCAGAGCTTCTACACTCCGATTGCAAAAGCATTTCATCCTCTAAATTGCATTGACCCAAATATTCCATTTACAGTCATGTTTCTATGAGTCTGCAAAGGATATTCCTCCTGGATCAGAATAACAAAAGTGTGGCCTACAACCTTATCTGAACTCTGCTAACAGAGGCCAGGAAAAGAAATGAAGGCAGAAACCCTTCTTCATTGTTATGACAAGGGCCTGACTTGATCTTGCTATTCAAGAATGACAGTTTGGTCCTGGTTGAATACTGACTTATTTATACGACGGTTCATAAATAATTTTGGTATATTTATTGGAGAAACAATAAATAAACAATTTTGGAGAGGTAAATCTTGGTTACCAACATGATTTTATTCCATACATTTTAATACACCTATTTCCACACACAGATAGGTATTTGAAAGAGCACATTGGATTCTCAGCAGTTTTAGTGCTGCCCTTGAGTACTTCTGTGCATATTCCAGCAGCTCTCTACATCATCGATGGGAGAGAACCAAAGGTATCAATCCATGTCCTAAGCCATTTCAAGAAGTAGTGACAGTGAAGAATTTAGGACATGCAAAAGATGGAAAGAGAAATTCATGTACCACACAAGCATCCCATACATTTTTTATATGACCAAGCACTTGGATCTCTTTATTGAGAGTTTTATGCCCTAGAACTCACCTAAAAAATAATGTATCAAACATAGAATGTTATTGTCCAAAAATTGTATTAAAACAATTTGCATATGCTGTTGGATATTTAGGGACATTTCCCTGGAGCTAAAATGTAATGTGTTTATAACTTCATTTTCAAAAAGGTCATTAGTGGCTGAATACACAGGAATACTTCTTGATTAATAAATTGATTCATAAATCTGAATTTCTTTATTAGGTTAGAGAACCTTAATCACTTCACACTTATTTGGAAATCCAATAAATTGGAGCATGTGTAATATCTTTTTAAATTTAATAATATCTAACTCCAGTGTTGGTTGAAAGGATTAAGATAATGAACATAAATCAGCAAATATGGTGCTTGGTACATAACTGATACACTAAGAAATAATGTTTATCTCACCCTCATCTCTTTATTTTAAAAAACATGATTGTGAAAAGATAAAGTAGCATTCAAAAACCACATCCTAGCTGGCGCGGAGACAGTGATGAAATTCAGGAGGCCAAAACTGAGCAGTGAATTGGTATCAGAGACTTGGGAAATACCAGGAGAGATGGAGAAAGAACTGACCTACCAGCAAGACTTTAGAGGTCAGAGCTTTACTTGAGAAAGAAGAGAAAATAGGGAAGAGGCTTCTCTAGTCTCTTGCAGAATCACTTCCAGAAAAACTATAGCTGAAGGGGACACAGAGTTGATGGAGCACAGACTGGCCCATTAACCAAAGAATGGAATGAGCTTTTATGGTACTGCTGGGATGCTCTGGGGGCTGGTAATTTTCCACTGGGTCATGCGTATGGCATTTTGTTTCTGAGAGTTCTTTCTCATATTTTACAGGATCTCCTCCTGTTGTAAATACAGATCAGTGCGATTTTCATCCTTGGACACATCATGGGCCCCTCTTGCTGTTACAGCACATCTAGTCCTTGATATTATGAGAGTAGGGAATAACGAGAGGTGCAGCCTATACGTTGCTAGCAAAGAGACAAGGGGAAAAGGAACAGATCAAGGACCAGAGTCCCCTCTCTTCCCTGTGAGGGCACCTGACCTATTTCGCAAAGTTATTTTTGTCTAGAACCAAAGTACAAGTACAGGAATATATCTGTCTCAACATTCAAGTTTCCAGAGGTCTCCTTTACTACACAGAGAGAATATGTTACTGGATTTTGGGGTGGTTTCTTGGTTCTTTCTGTCCTGAAAAAAAAAATTGGTCAAAACAAGCACAAAAGGTAGTGAGGTTTTATGTTTATTAAAGGTAGGACAAGAAGCATGCTCTGCAGAATGGGTTTGGGTGAAGTAAAAGTAGCAAAGGAAGTATACAGCCTGCGAGTGGACAATGTGGAAGAACTCTGGCTAGCCAGGCGTGGTGGTGCATGCATGTAATCCCAGCACTCTGGTTCACTTTTACATGTTATGGTTCAAAATCAAACAGGAATAGCTATACATATAAAATAGACACTAACTCAGAATAATGATAAAGAGATGAATTCAACAAAAGTAGCACTTGTACTTACATGCAATCCTGAAGCACTTAGTAATGAAATATTATCTCTAAAAAGAGAAATACACTTTAATACAATAATAGATTTCAGTACCCAGTGTCATGATTGTGCAAAAAAATGTTTTAATATTAAAGTTAAACTGTACTACAAAGGCAGGAGTAGGGCTGTGAATTTGAGGCCAGACTCACTACATAGTGAGTTCAAGGCCAGACTGAACTGCAAAAAGAGACCTTGTCTCAGAAAACAAAGACAAAACAAACAACAAACAAAACTCAGTAGCCCTCAGCTCAATGGTAACTGTCTTGTCTATTCCCCTGCTCAGGCTGATGTCAGGTCTAGGCATGCTGTGGAAAACTTGATAAAGTTCTCATGAGAAATCTGTGTGCAGGGCTTTGGGAACTCGTCTATGAATGTGTTCTGGGACTTTGCAATTAACAAACTATGTTCACTTCCCCAGCCAATCTGCTGTGCCCTAGTCTCCTGACTCAAGGGTATTCATAATTCCTCAGGAAGAGT